AACAATTCCACGCTTCTGCCATCAGTGATTGTGATTTTTCTGTGTAGAAACTTAGTGTTTTTTAGCATTACATTTGTTTAAACAGTGTGGCGCTCGGGAGCATTCATTATACCCAGGTTCAGGCAGTTTCTGATATCAGTATCTGTGTGTCTGCTTGACATGACAGTGATTTATGTGTATTCTCTATGTAACGTGCATGTCATCTATCTGACACGTCTGCAATGTTTCCTGCAGGGTGATATTGGTTTGACTGGTCCTCCTGGGCAACTAGGTCCTCCAGTAAGTGAGATTATTTATTTATTTTCGATTAATTTACTCCTCATACTCCTCCTTGATCAATCATCTGTGTTGTTTCAGTCTGCTGCTGGCAACAAGTCAATGATGTTTCATAAAGTACACAGAATAGCAGCTATCAAAACACAAGTCCCATAACACAACACTACTTCAATTAAGAGCTTGGATATAAACCTGTGGTCTGTTGTGGATTTTCTGTGCAGCTATATGGCTGGTTGGTTTATTATAAATGGGAGCCTGCAGAGGTGCTGTAGATACGACACCATAGAGAACCTGTCAAACACGGTCTGTTCTCTTCCTATGTTTGTGATTGACAGGGGAAGCCCGGAACTCGTGGAGAGCCAGGGATCCCAGGAGAGCCGGTGAGCCGCAGCCTCTAACTCTCTTTGAGCTGTCAATCCACGTGTCATTCCTTTGTCACTGTCGACTGACACATCGGCTGTCTCTGTTTTCTGACAGGGTGAGAGGGGGCCGCTCGGAGAGACAGGATTCCCAGGACCCGAGGGACCCCAAGGTGTTCCTGTAAGGATGCAAGGATGCTACATGAATTCTGTTGCTCTCCCTATATAATCACTACTAGATGTTGCCAAAGCACTGTCCAATCATATCCAGTCTGTAGGGCTTTGAATAGCTCTTTTACATTAGCAGATTTATCCATGGTTGTTTCCGTTCTTTTATTATATGGGGAAAGGAAGAACATGATTCAAGGACAATATGGACAAAATATCTATGTTAGCGACCACTTGTCCTGTAGATGATTACATTCCTCTATGTAATTACCATCAGAGATGGTTTCTGTAATTTTCCCTGTAAGCACACAATGGAACAGTGTTCGCACAGCAATCAGGATCATTATCCCTTGGTTGAGATATCTCATTAACTGTGGAGATTACTAGGAGTGCAACAGTGCTGATCCAATCGAAGGTGGGAGCTGATACAAAATGTCTTTGTTTGTGTTGCACTTCTTGAGCAGGGGAGACCTGGAAAAGATGGAACTCCTGGATACCAGGTGAGTTGTGTGAACACGTTGCAAATCCCCTTATAGAAAGTGCTTTACATCAGCCGAGCTACAGAAAGATGGCACAGCAGATTTTTATCCCCCCCCCCCTCAAGCTACAGCATCCTGAGTGCATTAAAGCCATTTGCATATTTGAGATTTTAACGATAAAAACTAAATGAAATCCTGCAGATTTAAGGCTTTGTTGACTTTAAGTCTTTTTACCCAAATTATACAGTTAATGCTTTCAGGCAATGATAAAATGTTTGTAATAGAGGGCAGTAGACACTTAGATTAAATATGCATTTTCCTGCCTGATGAACCTGGTTAAAATTGAAACAAATAGAACAGTGAAGTCTGCTTTTAGGTGACTGATCAAATATATTACACACTGTTTACTACATAATCACACAGAATGGGCTCACAGCATGCAGAACAGATCTGCTATTGATAGCCATTTATAACACATTATACAGTCGAATACTAAACTGGTTTGACTACGAGTATTGCTGTTTTGCTCTCTAATTTACAAGATTTTTGTCACCTAACACCTCAACGACTGCCCCTGCAGTTTATTGTTTTCTTCTTCTTATTATTAGTTAATATTCTTTCACCAGAATCTCAGCGTTGCATAGAGCCCTTCTACAGTTTTGTCCTCATGTCTTTCTGCAAATGGTGCCTGATTTTGTTTGGTGGGGCAACAGTGCCATCTAGTAGGTGGCTTTGCTTGCTTCCCTACCCAGACTCCTTGCACACTGCTTTGAGGTTTAATGTAATGCTCAGGGAAGCACATTTCAGTGGGCAAGATGATAGATTTAAGCCTCCCATCAGGCATTGGGGAATACAGAGTACTGCAGATTAAAGCAGGCAGGGGAGAACAGCATCACAAAGAGTTGCCCGCTTTAAAACCACATCATGCCAGATTGTCTTTTGCATGGCTCCTGTAATCCAGCAGGAAATTGATACAAAAGATGCTCCCAGAGGAATTGCTGTGAGCACAGTAAAGGGAGGCAATGAGGAGTGACAGGGGGGGATTGGAAGACACAAGATGTTGTGACATGAAGTCAGAGACAGGTATTTTCTCTCCCAGCTCCTCCATACAGTACAGACAGCTGGTGGGAAAGCATCTCAAATGAAAACAGGAGTGATGCAGAGAAGCCGTGACATTGCAGAAGGTGAAACACTATACAGGGAGATATTATACAAGCAATACACCTGAGCTGAGTAAAAAGCAATCAATGCACAGTCATCTGAAAAGTGTACGTTTCTCAAAGTCAAGTAATTCAGGAAAAGCTTACTCGCAGTTATTTTTTTTTTTCTTCAGGCAACAGAACAGAAACTTCTGCAAATATCAGAGTAAATATGAGCAATATGCCAATATGGAGAGCTTAAATAATAGAAATCTCTGCTTCATATGTACTGATTAGATTAGAAGTGTGTTGTGCGTGCTCCTGCATGTTACTGAACATCAACAGTGTGTAGCGAGTGAAAAGCGTCGGCATCAGCATGATTTCTTTTTCCAATTATTCAGAGGTTACTTCTTTTTTTCTATGACAACAAAGCCTTAAAATACATGTTTCTGTTTTTTTCCTAAGGGAGCTACAGGTAGACCAGGGGACAGAGGATCCAAAGGAGAGCGTGTAAGTAGCATCATTCCTGTTTTCCTAAAAAGAAGCTGTTTTTATGACTCAGACTATAATGCAAGGTTTTGATGAATAGTAATGAAAGTCTTCACTTCAGCACAAATATGACTAATCCCCACAAGCACATAAGCACTAGATAAAGGCATTTAACGCTCAGTGCAGTTTCCTATTGTATTTGCGAGGCAAAATTAAAGAGCTCTGTCACACTTCTGCTGTAATCTATTGGAAATAGAGGATGCAAAATGAGGCTTTTAGCTTTATAGTTGGCACCGGAACCTCAGGACAGGTGACTGACTGGACGCATTAGGAGAAATGGGTCAATGTGCTCAGCATGTTAAGTGATACAGTTGGGTGTGAGTCAGGCTTGAAAATACTGATCATGGTGCTATGAATGCCAACCAGGAAATGTAGTTTGGATTGTTATATTGTGCAGGTTGTAAACTCAACCTTATCTAAACAGTTCAGTCGGTACTGCATCATGAAACGCTGAGATATGTCTGGTTATGCAGGGTGATCCTGGGATTCCTGGAGAGAGAGGTGTTCAAGGCGAGAGAGGTCGCATAGGAGATCCTGGCCCTATTGGACCCATCGGAGCGGTCGGACAAAAAGGCGACCCTGGCCCTCCGGGACAGTTGGAGAGTGCAAACCTCTTGGTAAGCTGTATATTCACCTCAGAGCAAACAAAGACTATCCTCCCAGATGATTAAAACCTTAATCATCCTACTTCCTTTCTGAGCTTGTGTAACTAGTTCAGTTCTTGTTCCCCGTATGGAAAAATGGTGCAGCTACAGATTCCTGCATGAAACATCAAACAAGGCTGTGCAAGGGAGGTTGCTGTTCTCTTTCTGCTCAGCGCTTCCCACTCCTCATCTAGGCGCCACAGAGGGTCAGAGAGGGAGAGAGATGGAGACAGAGAGAAAGACAGAGATATGTGGGCGTGCCTAGAGTTCTGCAGAGCAGTAAAAACACCTCCGTGTGTCACAGGCATTTTACACATACTGTACGCAGTCACAACAGTTATATAACGTTCGCAGCAGAGATGAAAAGCTGTTTTGAATGCAATGATTCAAGGTCCAAGGCTACTCTTGCCCTGGAAAGCTCTAACAGTGTTTTTGAAAAAGGTTGACATAACTGACATAAAGTATACCGTCCTGTTTAAACCATGTTATTTTGGGTTTCTGAAACTGTGGCAGAAATACATACATTTCACTGAATCGTTAGAAAAGAGCTGAAAAATGTGAATTTTAGCAGTGATCTCTCCTCCCAGCCCTTGTTTGCAGCACAGATGGTTTTCACAAACAGTGTGTTGATATACATGTCAGGTATCCATTTGATTTTCATGCCGTGATAACTACTGTATCTCGTCTTCTGTCAGTTCACTATTAATGAAAGATGACTTACTGTTGTTTCTTTTTGTTCAAAATGTTTCACTGAAGTTTCTATTCTTCTCCACCACACGCACAGGGTGATCCTGGCTTCACGGAAGAACTGAAAATGTTCATCAGAAATGAAGTTTTAAGGATCTTTGAAGGTACAAATTGTTCCAGATTTATTCAATATGTTTTCTTGCCATCTTTTTACCACATTCTGAATGTTAATTCTTATTTTATTATATATTTCATACTCTGTAGAGAGGCTATCGAGCGCTGCCATGCTGCAGAAGACTCCTGCAGGCATCTTAGCATCACAATTCCAAGGGCCTCCAGGACCTCCTGGCAATGACGGATTACCAGGCCCACCAGGAGAGCCTGGACCTCCTGGTCCTCAAGGTAGGAGCTCAGGCTGCCAGACAGAACTATGGACACTAACACAAACCTAAGGAAAATAACCCTTTCTGTTAAAATATGTATTAGAAATAACACTCTTAACCTATGAGTGCTCAAAACTATTCAACTATTCACTCCTGGTGAAACTTAATTAACCCACTGTTGCCTGATAGAATTGTAATCTGTGTGTGTGGCTACACCATATGTAAACGCCTCATTGGTGTTTAAATATACCAATTAGTCCAACCATATGCTGTACAACTCGTGTATTTAAAGGAGGCCTCAGAGTGAAGTGCAACAGCCTTCAGCTAAAGATGTTATTCTGAATGTAAAGAGTTGGGATGAAACAATTTGAGATTGGCTGGATTGGGGTGGGGGCACCAATGTAGGTTGTATTTTGTAGGGATTCATGGGTATTTTTCTCTTGCTTAGACCCATATATCAATGCAGACTGAGGGGCGGGAAGCAGAGGAAAGGCCAGGAGTGTGGTGTGCAGCGGCTCTCTGGGAAATATGAAGACAAACAGAAGAATTGGCTGTGAATAAGAGAAAGTGTTATCAATGTGGACAGGAAAGAGCCCCAGTATTGATACCTCACTCCAGGAAAGAAAGCTTCTAAAGTACAAAAGGAGCATAGTCAGTAAAGAGGGTGGACGTTCTTTATCAAACTGATACAACTTCCTGACTGCTCATACAACACTAATGGTTCACTGGTCAGGCTTTATACCTCAAACTTGCTTAGATTTGTATTGTGTCCGCAACAGAACTACGGTATCCTAACTTTTGTAGAGGAGGAGTGTGTTGCGTTTTGGTGCAGATCAAAGCACCACTGCATTGGCCTTTCTCTTTGAGCTTTGTATCTACCTCACATTATTCAAGACCATTTACACTTTAACCCACTGCTATAATAATATAAAGTGCTGCTTTCATTCATGAATAATGTAGTGAAAGTAGGCAACTACTCGCCTATAAATATTTGTGCTGTGTTAATGCCATTTGCATTACACATGTCTTGGACTTTGTGTAGCTTGTTTTATTTTTTTATGCTTCAAAAGAGTGTTTTATAGGTGATTCTTAATGCAGCTTTGCAATAAATATTTATTGAAAATAAACAGCAAAGTTATTTCCCTTGATAAATCATAAATTCAACAACTTCTTAATTTTTTCTTTGTTGACTCGTGCCTCCACTCAGCTGGGGAGAGAGTTTGGGGTAATATTTCCTCATTATTTCTCGTCATCCTCTGCTGGAGACTTTGCTCCTCTGGAATATCCAATTTGACTTCTTCTCCAATATGCCAAAATGAATTGTTTATGGAGAAAAATAACCCCTCTGTTGAATTCACAGTCTTTTTTTCCTCATGGTTTGATTTCACATGGGTGAAAGTCTCAGGCTGTTAGAGAATACCCATAAGGAAAAGCATCATTTCTTTTTTGTTTTTTTTGTTTTTTTTCCCCTACTTTGTTGTAATTGAGTGTTCATTTATCATTCTATTTATCTTTTGAGATCGTAATGAAAATACTCACTGATGTAAGTCATTATGTTTGAGTGCATATTTCATAAATTCTACATTTTGTTGTTTTAACATTCATTTTTAATTTTTGTATTTCAGTGCATTCTGTATATTTATTAATACTGACTTAAACAAAGTGTCTTTTATTATATCAGGCTGTAAACCCTGTGTTTCAGAGCTGCTCTGCTTTGTGCTGTACAAATATGGAAATATCAGTAAATATCTCACAGTAATTGGTCTTTGATGGAGCAGCTGTTCAAAGAAAGGTGTTTTTTTCTTTTGTAAGGCATAGCATGAATGAATAGATGTTGCTGTTAATACTGTTTACAACAGTGTACAACAGGTGCAGGGCTGCAGTCTTATCAATCAAGCATGAAAAACCACTCTTTGGCAATGTTATTTTTTATTAACGTATTTTGTCCATTAGTGCCCTTAAAAACAATTTGTTTTCAACCAAGTACAGACGCAGTTTGGCAGTTTCGATTTATCAGAGTGCACCAATCCAGCGTGCCACCCAAGCTTATTGCCCTGTGTGCCTGTGTGCTCAGTATTTTTTTGCTTAAGGTACAGTGCTCTTTTCTCCATGGAACGTCTCCCTCCTGAATGAATGCCCCAGGCTCTGTGAGTGTTGAAAGAAGTCTCATTATTGCAGCAATGTGTGGATAGCCCCTCTCTCTTTGAGACTCAGTTTTGGAGCATTCATAAGCCTTTTTTCTGAGATTTTCCCTGACATGTAAGCGTTGAAGCGTTTCCCCTTTGGGCCAGACAGTGCAATGCTTGATACTCCTGTCAATGTTTCTGATGCACTCCATGCAACCACTGGTCCTGAGACTCCATTACTTTAAGTGCCTCATGGGGAAATATTTTCGCAGCGCCTCAAATTCTTACTTGGTATGCTGCTGTTTTAAACTGTGAATACGTACTGACTCTGCATGGAGTGAGAAAGCCTTTGTGTGCATGTCGTTATAAGCAACTCATTTGCTGGCTTGACTTGACGATTAGTGCAAATACTTCGATTCTGTTTTACTCAGCCTTTTTTTTAACAGACTAAGCATGTCTTGTGTTCATCGCTGCTTGATTTCTTCATCTTAGAGGTAGTCATGCAGCAGTCAATCACCATCATAGTGTTATGCTCTAGCCTTATTTCATTTTATGATCTTGTTTATGTTCTCCCAGTGAATAACATCTCTGAGTCTAGTTTCCATGAAAACACATGATTGTTTTCTGCATCTGTTGCATCTGTCTGTTTTCTATTGAATCTCTATTGAGTCCACCTTTGATTAGGCCTATCTTTTCACTCTTTGAATGCCTTTAGTGACCCACATATCTGACCTCCAATTCGAGAAAGCTGCTTTGTTCTGTTTTGAAATCTTCAAAGACATGTGCTTGTGGTCCTGTTGTTGGCAGAAAGCTGTACAAGCCCACAATGCCTCTTTCTTCGAACATTAGCGCACAGATGGCTTGTTTGATGATTTCTGTTTTGACAGGATGTCAGTAGATACTTTTATTATTAAAAGGTTTGGGATTGAAACTGAGAATCCAGAGAAGCCTGTTTCTACATCAACTACAAAAGCAGCTTTTTCTCAAAATAAGTGCAGACCTGATGCCTGACATTGCCGTCATATTGATGATGTTTATATCATCAAGAAGCTAATCTGTATGAGTCATTGGATAGATATAAAGGTTGCAAAAAGTCTGTCTTCACAGTATGGCATTTGTACTAATCTCACTAACTCTCTTACACACTCCCTGAACATGACACCACACAGTTGTACTTGCAGTATTTGTACTCAGCCAGAGTTTTTGTGTCTGTGCTCAGGATACAGGGGTCAGAAAGGAGAACGAGGTCAGCTCGGACTGGGGTTACCAGGAGATCCAGGACATATGGGTCCACCAGGTAAGAACAGCAGATTGCACTAAAAGGCATGTTTATAAAACAATAACGAAAACTGCACATATCAATATCTTATATTACATACTAATAATATTATTAACAATAGATCAAATGACTGTGTGTAAAGAGAAAAATGCAATTTATAGTTGGGCAACCACAGACATTTATCACCCAACTCTGCAGTTCCCCTCAGCTCTGTGGAGGGTTTTCTCTAACCTCATTATTTTGTTTTTGTGGACCACAACAACAACTGTTTTGGTTCACTCTCACCACTTTTATCGGCATAGTTTTCAGTCACAGCAAACAACTATTTTTAACGTAAAATTGTGAGAAATTATATGCTACCAGAAGTTAGTAACCAGCTTGTGAACATAGTGGAGCATTAAGCTGCTCAATAGGAGTTGGTGGAGACTAAAAACAGAGCTAAAAGGAGAGCGAATATTGGACATACAATGGTCAGGTGGAAACACAACTCCAAATGAATGCCAATGTTGCTCTGCTATAATATGTCAATATTGTCTTTACAGCTTGTGTGAATGAAATGAATGCTGCTTTAAATCTTAATTGTAAGCCTTGAATTTTGACAGAATTCAAAATGTGAAAATGACATTCATTGGAAGGATTTCAAGATATGTTTTTACTGCTTGAGGCTTTAACCTCAGCCAGCCATAGACCAGTAAGTCATAAGGTAGTATTTGTGCCTATAAATCAGCCAGCACCTCTGACAGTCAATAAGCCAGTCATGCTTTCATTATACCACTCTTTTCACAGAATGACCAGGTGCTGCATTGACAGCCTTACCTCCTCCACACCTACCACTGTTTATCAAGTTTTCATACCTGGCCACGGAAAGGAATGAAATGTAGCTTATCTCACTATGATACCAGAGAACCTTAAATTCTATTTCAGCCTTCATTTGGTATCCCAGCATGTTTGAGATAAACACAGCTCCCAGATGGTATTATGTTTTCTAAAAGTCAGGCGCCACTGTGACTTAAATGGGACCCCAATGGAGGACAGAATGCTGCAGTGACGGAGCATTGACGTCCATTCTGTATAGTAAAAAAGCCCAGCTTGGTGTTGTCCTGGACAAAACTTTCACTGCGCACAAGATATCAGCTTGTCCCCTGCTCCTGTGAACTAAAAAATAACTCCCCATAATGTGATGGAGCGATGAGAAGTGGGATTACCTCCCCGACTTCCAGCCTGTGACAGTAGGAGTTAATCACTGAACCTAAAGCCACTCATCCTATCTATGTATGTGCATAATGCATGTGTCAGGCAAAGGGAACTTGGCTGTAGCTCCTTAGAGAGGACAAATCACAGCTGTTGAAAGATATCATCTCTAGGGGCACAAAGTGATAGGAAGTACCTTCGGCACAACTGGTGGGGTTAGACATCAGCTGTATTCACATCTTGGAAAGAGTTATGACTGGACTGGGCCACTGCGTTGGTTTTCCCTGTGCACTTACTCTAGATTTACAAGTCCCTGTACAAGGGAAGATGATTTCTACCAACTAAAATTTCTGTCACTTGGCCGTCATAATGAGGGACAGCTTACGGTTCCCCTTGGACCACCTACTGGTTCATGGAGACTGGGACATATGAGTCACATCCAGTACAGGAGATTCACACAACTCTATTTTCTCAGTTTTACTATCAGGGAGTAAAAGTCCTCCTGGCTGGTTACAACTTCAGTGTTGTTGGTTCTCATGAGGACATTACAACACCAGAGGAGAGGCAGGGAATCTCTCACTGAATGAAAACTAATTTGAAAAGTAATTTGTGTGGTTGTTGCCCGCCTGTAGAGTGTTTAGTTCTGTGCTCTAGCTAATAAGCGGGGTTGAGTTAACAGCTGTAACTAGCCACCCAAACTTACTGCCTGAACATACTGATTTAAATTGTGCATTTTTGTGCACCTTTGCTCTGATATTGACAGTAAAAAGCACCATAGTACTGTGGACAGCCTGTGTGTGAGCAGTTAAGCAGGAGATGGATGTGGCAGTGATGAAAAGGGCAAGTTGTGTTTTCAGAGGGAGGAAAAGGACAAGGCTGTACCTGTGATTCCTTTTGTATGAACTGTAGAGGCGGCAGGGCTCCCTTGAGCTGTGACTGTTGTGACTGATGTTGTGGACTCCTGCGGTCGGACTGCAGCAGAGTTTTTCTGATTATAGAGATACATTGTAAAGAAAATCTTATCACTGGTTCTTTTTTCTTTCAGTATATAAACAAGGAGTCAATGTGGACTGCTTTGCTACTTCAGCAAGCTGTTGCTAAGTAACATGAGATACTAATGTCATCATCTGCCATGACAACATCATGTACTTTCTCTGTCCTTCATTCTCATTAAAGTGAAATTAATTACTTAATTGTAAACGAGATACACAGCTTTTGAGAAAAAAAGAAGCATGCAAATAAAGTGCTTGCTGGTGTGAAAATGAAACACACAATGGGTTGGGTTGCTGTTGAAGTTAAGCCATCTTAAGGGAAAATAATAATGTCAAAGTAGAATTAAGTTCAGGAGGATATGGCTGGAATAAATATCACATGACAATAAATCTATCTTCAAAATTGTTGTTGATAAACCTATTGATTAATCAACTAAATAGCTTCCATATCGTCACAATACAATTCCACCTGAAATTTTATGAACAATGATAATTAATTATTGCCCAGCCTTAGGAGAATTTAGTCTTTGATAACAAATTGTAGCCTGACTGATACTGAATTTTTGAGACTGATACTCAGATATTTGCCAGTTTAAAGGTCCAGTGTGTAAAATGTAGGCGGATCTATTGGCAGAAATTGAATATAATATTCATAAGTATGTTTTCATTAGTGTAACTTTTTATATTATTATATTATAATATAATATTGTTTTTCTAGTTTCACCTACACCATAGTGTCTCATAGACAAGTGGAAGGGGAGGGTGAGGCAAGAGGTATTAAGTTGGCTGTAGTCTGCAACCTCACCACTAGAAGCCACTAAATCCTAGGTCTAGTAGAAATATCTGCGTTGTATATAAAGTATACTTTAGCCTTTTGGAAACCAGTCATATATCATTCTATACTTTTTGTGTTACCTCTTCACAACTCCCATTTCTAACTCCATGTAGCCTGGACAGTGTATGACTGTTTGTGTTGGTGTGAGGGAACGTGTGTCTCTGCCAAACCACAGCTTTGAGTCTTATCACTAATGGAAAGCTCTACTGAACGATGATGAAGTGCAGCCCAACGCAGGAATTAATAATGTCTAATTCTCTGTCTAGGTCCTCCTGGGATAACTTCTCAGGGCCCTCCTGGATCTCCCGGGCCCCGTGGACCTCCTGGGACATGTGACCCCAGTGACTGTCTATTTCCATCCCGGTGAATCCAGCAGAGCAGTTTAGGCCGGTTCGAGGACAGACGTCCAGCTCTAAGCTCAGTGCTGCAGGCACAGAGCAGCCTCGCTGTATCTGACAGCTTCCTCGGCTCTGGTTTATCGCACAGACTCACAACTGACCTCTTTTGTTCACTTTGCAATAACCTTTGGATGCAGTCAGGATTTTTTGTTGTTGTTGTCTGGTTTGTTTTGAATTCAGTTTTTTTTTTGCTGTACTCTTTAAGTTATTTTGTTTTTTCACATCCCCACTGTGATGTAATGCATTCCATGTCAACTCTCATTATGTCTTTCAAGACTATGAAATGACTTTGTTTCATCACGTTCAGTCCTGTCTGAAAACATGATCTTAATTATTTGTTTGCCTCCTTAATGGGCATGCCTCTGACTCTTCTGTTCTTGTTGAGATAAGCCAATGCGCTGGCAGAAGGTACATCTCGCGTGTGTGTGTGTGTGCGTGTGCGTATGTGCTTATGTGTGTGAGAAAAAGATTAGCTGAATGAGTATACTTGTTTTATGTGTAGGTGTAAAAAATAACAGATTTTTGAAACTCCTTATGCAACCAAAGTGCAGCAGATGCGTCTGATACGGAAATTATTTATTTTTAAGCGTGTTTAAAAGATGGTACAAATAGTTGTAGTAAATGTAGCACGGATATTCAGTTATATTGTCACTAGAAGATGGATTATTACATTTCTGGATTACTGAGAGTTTTGTTTTTTGTTTTATGAAATTATGACTCGTAACCCATTTGCATTGTGCATGATAATCTTTTTTTTTTAAAGAATCTTGCTATTTTCTGTAGATTATGCATCAGTACTGAATGTTCATCAGCCATATCTTTTGTAATACAAAAACCTACACCTCATACTGTTCGACGCATACATCAAGGGCAGATTTTTCCATATGAAAAGAATGTACTTTAATTGTTGTTCCTGTTCAGCGAGTATGACTTGACCTCACATTTGTCTTTACTGTTGGTTTAATCTGTAAATAAGTTGAACGAGTGATTGTGTTTTCTTTCTTTTTTCCTGTCTAATGGGGCTTGTAATGGGACCTGACAATATAATTACATAAGCAAGTTGTCATTGTACTGTCACGTTAAGGTTCTCACTTTTGTTATCAATCATACGATGCTGCAAATGTTTTAAGATTTTGTTTGTGTGTCTGAGATGATGATAATTAACATTGTTTACATAGTGTGGTGAATGATGATTCCTCTGGTTTTATTTGTATATTTTTGATTTTCAGCCACAAAAAGGAAATCGGACTACTACACTACAACTTCAGACCTTTTATTTTGGTGCAACACATACATAACTCATGAATGTACTTGAATTTGTTTGTTTTAACAGCATCGTGGTCTACATCCTGGTTTTTCACTCACTGACCAGCACTGGGTGTCACTATGTATCGTCGGGAGTGGGGGGTGTCTTATGACTGGAGTTTTGATATATTTATTTGCCATAACAGGTTACAGAGTCATTTTAGTGTAAATTCAGAAGGTTTTGAGTCAACTTCGTCTAAACAGGCCATATGCTGTATCATTTAGATGAATGTTCTCTTTGAAGATTTGTAAGGAAATGCACAATTTGTTCATCTGAAAAGTAACCTAAACTTTACAGTCAGTCTACACAATGAACATTTATTCATCAAAAAAAAGATAATTGGCCTGTAGCGTACAGTATATTACTTTCCTAAAGCTTTAACTTGGCGTGCTGTTTAATGAGAGTTTGACTCAAAGCCTTTAAATTTACTTTTAAGTGTCCTGCTGTGATTAATGTTTGAAAAGTTCTGTGGGTGTATCTGAAAGTTTGTGACATTAAGAACTCGGTTCTATCTGTACTTCATCCTTTAAGATCAGTTTTTTTTTCCTCTTATACTTCATGTCTCACATCACCATGCTTCTCTTACACATGTGAATTATAGCTCACATCTTACTTTGAAGCTGCAGAGGGGTTTTTTATATATTTTTCTCAGCATGCAGGCTTGGTTTTATCTCTGTTCAATTTTATCAGTGTGAGTGGGTCTAATTTTAGAGGGGTATTGAATCAAATGTGTGCAACTAACTTTATTTGTGAGTTGAAAGAGCCCCCTGCTGGACATGTATTTATTTTCTCATTGCTTGTAATGTGAATGGAAAACAATCTTTGTTTGGGTTATAGGTTACATAAAATCCCCTCCTTCTACTGGCTACTGTCCTTTCATCGCACTAATTTTCATATTCGGTTTAATGGGTTCCCCTTCTGAGACAATAACGCCGACCTTGGCCAAATTCAAATGAGACAGCACCAGCAAACTAATGTGATCTGAACTTTTTGGTGCACTGATGAGAGCAACTCTTTGCGTATATTGAATTTACCCTGCATTGATATTAATGTGCACCGGTTTGTGACTTCAATTAAGCTAAACAGTATGATAACTAGGGAGGACACAAAATGGCTGCTGATGTCACAGCCCACTTCACTAGCAATTTGCTGCCAGGCATTTTACATCGCTCCAAGTTAAAATCCATTTATTCTAAGTGGAAAATGTCAGATGAAAGCAAACTCAAAGGGTGGAGGTGTGGTGGGTTGAAGCGTCCTTCAAATGAAATGCTTTTATACATCTAAAGATAGACAGAAATACTTCAAACAATAACATCAGTTTTTAAACATCCACATATTTCATTATTGCTTTTTTTTACAGTAATGGAAGTTGATCCTGTCACCACATGTAATCTAATCTTGTAAATAAGCTTGTAATGAAGGGGAATATGGATCAGCCTCTCAGCATGGTCCCTTGGATTAAAAATGTCTGCCTGCTGCTCTCACTGTAACTCCTCTCTACTCCTTCATAAGCTCAAGTCGTGCTGAGTGACTTTAATGTGTTTTTGTCATTGTTTCGTTGAATATCTACCTCAGTCTTGGTTTACCACAAGTCTACATGATTAGCTATTTTGCAAAAAAAAAGAAAAAATCCCAACACTGACTGTTACCTTTAACTGATAAAAGCAATTAAAACCTTACATGTATGTAAAAACAGATAAATTGCAGTCCTGGATGTTGACATCAGTATCAGTCTGCTTACTGGACTATAAAGAGTAGAGGTGGTAATGCTTTTGTTGTGGAGGATGATCCAGTGTGTATGTGGTTACCAGGTATCAGAGGTTATATTTTACACTTTTCTTTGCAGCATCTTTTATTTACACTGATTAATGGCACCTGCCTTTACACGAGTGCAATAAATGTTATTCAGTGCTTTATTTCCTGTGTTCTTGTGTTGTATTTTTGCGCTCTAACACAGCCTGGGTCTTTTTTTATTATGTGTTTCTGTGTGGTCAGTGGCAGTTATAATTAATCCTTTAAGTGTTGTTCCATTGTGATAAAACTCACAACAAAGGTTTCTTTCATCAGACACCTGAGAGTTTTAGCATTTCAGTTGTATTTAAAATATAATGATATGCATAAAAACTCTATTTTGAATGTAACTATATTAAACAGCTGTGATATTTTAGAGTTTCAGCGTTCATTATTGACCTTGGAAATTACTTTTGACCAAACCCTCAATGTACATACAGTAGCTGTTCTGGAGCACATGATTACACGATCTTCATCAGCAGATGGACTTTGCTCAGTTGTCATGAAAATGTAGATTTAAAAAGACACATTTTGAGCATCTACATTTCTGTGACAGTGATTGAAAGATGCAGAACAGCTACTAAATGAACCTTGAGGTGAGATCATCTTGTCAGCTGTGATATTTTTGTTTTTATTTGAAGTGAAGAAGAACAGTTTTGGAAAAATATATTTGTCACAAAATATTCTGTCATCACATAATGATACCAGTATACAGAATAAAGTAAACACTGCATGTGTTGTTTTCTTTATTTGTAACATTAATGAGGGTCTCCCTCATCCCTAAAATATATTCCATATATGCACGACTGCACTCTGTTGTCATTCTGTACAATGAGACAAAATCTCACATCAGGTTGTTAAGTAGGAAATATAATTAACCACAATTCAAACATTTTTTTACAGATTTACAACATAAACTGAAGTCAGTGTGACTTGATGACATTTTCATCCTCTCTCCTTTTTATTTTGAACTGCAGGGCTGAAAAGACGGTCAGACATGTAGAGATTTATATTAGGAAAGGGGGGATTCACCAGGTTTATCTTTGGTACAGTAACACATACAGAACAAAATAACTGAAAAAGGCACTCAAACCAAAGAAATCCTGATCCTGATTTACTTTGGGTGATTATTTTTAAAATGTTCTGTGGGAAATCGGATGCTTTTATTTCAGAAAACAGCGTGAATGGAGGAAAATAGAGGCAGAGGTACAAGGAGAGTGGGATAAACAAACACTTCTGGTCATTTCATATTGTCTCAGAAATGTGAGCACAACATCCTGAAAATCTCAAAACATCTCTCAGGTAGAAAAACACACCAGAACAAGCTAGATTTTTGCAGCACAAAAAAAGGTTTTGTGTTTCTTTACGACTTGAAGAGGCTGGCTCCTTCTGATAGAGATGCGGCTGGCACAAAACACGCTCACAAGACTAGAGGTTAATGGATCGTAGGCACCGCACCGACCGCAGCCCCTTGGAAGACAGTGTGAAAAATGTTGTGTGCTCAGGGGAGCTAATCCAACAGTCTTTCTGTCTCTGTCAGAGTGGCTCTTAGTTCCCTGCGGGTCCCTTCACATCCAGAGACTGGTGGGCGGCTCCTGCCTGGAGGTTGCAGGCTGACGGGTCACAGTAACCATTAGGTCCAGCTGAACCGGGAGGCCCAGGTACACCGGGCTGTCCAGGAGTGCCAGGAGGACCCCTCTGCCCATCGCGACCATCCTGACCGTAGCCGGGTTTGCCTGGCTCACCTGTGATCAGGAAACTGATTTTAGGATGCTAGTTGCTATATTTTTTTTTTCAAATGTAATGCAACAGACACATGCAATTATATACGTTCTTCCTGTCCATATTGGCCTTCAAGAGAAAAGAAACTGTCTGTATGTACAAAAGACAGACTTATAAAAAATGTGTACCTACCCTTTAAAGAGCTAATTTAAAAGGCAAAATTGACTCACCAGGAAGTCCGGGGGCTCCTGGCTGACCTTTAGGTCCACGCACAGTGGGCCCTCTGGAACCTCTGTCTCCCAATTCACCTGTAACACATAGAGCAAGACAAACGTGTCATTGTTTTACTTGATGCGTAATTCTGTCACGTCACCCTAAACAGCGACACTGGCGAATGCATTCATTACCTTTGGGTCCTTTCACTCCAATAGGTCCTGGTGGGCCTTTGAGTCCAGGGAGGCCTCTTGCTCCAGCCTGCCCAGGGAAGCCATTATCTCCTGGATTCCCAGGAGGCCCTGGAAGTCCAGGTTTACCAGGTAAACCAGCTACACCAGACTCCGGCCTCCTTAAACTAGCTGCTAACTGGGCCAGCTGTTCTGTTGGAGCACAGAAGATGATGAACCATTAAATGCAAGACTGGCACCATGACACTGAATGTTGTGGTTGACAGTTATCGAGGGAACTTTTGAAAACCTAACACTTTGTATTAAATCAGGCTGTAGCATAAGAAGGCTCATTTCTGAAAGCCCAAAGCAACTCTCACGGAGGAGATAGTCCAACAGCTCTTGTACTTGAGTTCAGAGAGAAGCAGAGCGAGGTGAAACCGTGGTCACGATATCCCCCGAGTTTCTCTTGTTTTTCAACCTTTTTCCATAGAACCTCGGTAAATTGAGCATAAAGGAGATAATACTCTTTATTTCAAGCAATCAGTGACAGAAAATTTATGTTCATGGTGCGAAGGATCTAGTATTAATCTCCTGTGGCTCCTTGCAGCATGGTATTTTGCACTTAAGATTCTAGTTTTCAGGCTCCTGATGAAAATTCATGCAGCCGCTGCTTGACTGCTCCTTTTTTTTAAGATTTCCTTTCCAGGCAGACTCTTTGCTTGGAGCAGAGGAGTGCAGGTCTGCTGGAGGTGAAATTAATTTTTCAGCACATCGGCTATAAAAAAATCATGAGTGTAAGAGATGAGTTGTGAAGACGTAAGAGCAACAGAATGAAGAGAACAGAGCTTGTGACTTCAGTGAGACATTTCTAAAGCTCGGAGAAGGAATCTTTCATCCATCAAATAAACAAAGGCTGAAGCTTATTTCATGTTTGGGCTATAAGGCTTTCCCTTTTTTTTAAAAAACTTCTGAGTATTCAGCGACCGCCCAGATCAATGAGACAACGGAGGGGGCAGCTCTGTCTGTGGTTGTGTAATGAAGCATTCTGGGTAAGATTAAAGTCATGAAATGAGGCACAAGGGAATAATAAATGGGGTCAAAGGCCTATCAGTTCTTACCTTGCATGACTCGCATGCAAACTTGTCTGATGTGCTGATCACTTGGCTCTTTACCCTGCAGGGAAAAAGATGACTTAATATATTTCATGACAGTGTCAGAAACATTTATGTCACAGTGAAAACATCTCTCCTCATACTTTACTGACTTGCTTTCACAATAGTTGAAAGATGGAAAAAAAATATACTATTCTTGTGCTTATAAAAGCTGTTAGCTGTTTAATAAACTCAAAGTGCACTGCGGTGAAGCTTAAAACAGGCTTCCTTTCTCCTCTCCTGAAAAGTTGACATTTTGGATGTACAAGGGTTTCCCCTTACAACAATACAGGTATTGAATTTAAATTGCGATTTTACCAAACTCGATAACAGAATATTCTTTTTGCTTGCCTCCTCTACATCAGAGTGCAGCTGAGCAGCCTTTGGTGGGTGCAAACATATTAAATTCCCAACAAGATATATTTTTTCAGAGCATCTTGCTCATGTGGTTTGATGTATCCCCTGCTGCTGCGCAATATTGGGGTTTAGAGTTTATAGAGTTTATTTGCACAAGTTAAAATTATATGAAGGATATCAAAATAACAAAGATAAAAGTGTGCAAGGAGAAGTATTCTGCCCAGAGGGACTTATTAATGGCCTCTACCTAAGTCATTTTTTAAACATGTTATTTAAACGTTTTATAATTAATACCCCTATAACTTCTTATGAGTAAACTAGGTTTTGTATAAATAAGTATTAGATGACAGCGTGAAGTGTTTGCTTTAAAGTAAAACATAAAGCGATGGCTCAGGGAGGTTTGATTCAAAATTCAAGTGAGATATCAGTTAGAAAAGGAAAGGATTTGACAGGAGTGACAGAGGGGTTTCAAAACTCTAAACATTATCATGTTTTTTTGTTTCCGCTGACTGATACTTACTGAGGTTACTGCCACAAATACACTGAAACTCAATGCAATATGAGAAAATGAAAGTGATGGATTTGCTATGAATTGTCTAATGTAAGAACAATAGTAATATTAGTTTTCCATTTTTGCCACCCTTTAAAGTCTCCATGCCACCCTCTTACCACCCCATGAATTTTTCTCCACCCCTGGTAGACAGAACAGATTACAACTGAAGACTGTGGTCAAACTTGTATCTTTCTCACTCTCTCTGTCTTTTGACTTCATGTGTTTTCTCTTGGACCTACCGCAGGACCCTGGGACCCTCTGACTCCAGGTGAACCCCTGTTCCCCTGCATGCCCCGTGGTCCAGGTGTGCCAGGCGGCCCCTCGATACCGGGCTGGCCTCGACTTCCCTCTGGACCTCTCCTGCCAGGCTCACCAGGATTACCGACCTCAAGAGAAAATACGGTACCAGACCGGAGAAATATTACAAGGCTGAAGCAGTTTCTCAATGGTATTACACCACAGGAAAATACTGAGACACCAGGTTAAAATAATCAGTTTGAACTCACCTCTCCTTTAGGTCCAACTTCTCCTGACTCACCCTATGACGCCATTTATAACACACAGAGGATGGAGACAAGGACAATTGTACTCTGGTGAGATTCTATAATTAATAGACACTTTGAATAGTTACATTTATAATGTTAGTGTTGGTGTAACAACTTACAAGATCCCCTTTGTCTCCAGGGTTCCCCTCATCACCTTGTGTTCCCTATGAAAACACAGTCTGTGAATAATTTATACAAAGCAACACACTTGCTATTTAAATGCAGCATTACTATTAAGAGATAATTAACATTTAGTATTGGGATTTCATACCTGCTCTCCTTTGGGTCCTAGTTCTCCGCGTTCTCCCTGTAACAAAACGAATGTGTTAACATTGCAGTGTGTTGTATCTCGCAGGATTCAGAAGATCAGAATATTCTCTTTCTGTACACTAGAGGGAGCTGATCAGTTGTTTGTTGTTCTCCTGCTGTTTAGGACAATAGTCCTAAATCTGAAAAGGTCTCTGAATGGGACTGCAGGGTTTTCTTACCCTCTCTCCTTTCACCCCGGGCAGGCCAGGAGGACCAGGGAGACCAGGAAGGCCAGGGTCACCTTTGGGTCCCTAGAACACATAAACATGCACATCTGATGAGTAGAGACATTTAGGCAGGGTCATATAAAGTACAACCTTTGAAATACAAAACAATGCACTTTGCTCTGTTTTTAAGCTATTTCATCAAGCATAACACCTGTTAACATTGCTGAAAATGCTCATATACCAGTAGTTACAGTAATTTACAGTAAATAACATTGTGCTCGTAATTAACTTTTAATGCAGCTTAGCATTGCTACTTATTCTCTCGGGCATGTTTGTGTGTGCCATTCCCCCTTTGATCACTGACCAAACTGTCTGAGGAATGCCAGGAGAACAGAGAGCTCATTCAACCCACTGCTTACAGGTCTCCCCTTACTGTGAAAATAGACCTCATGTGAGATCCAGCCTCAGTCTATTCTCTGAGACATTCCAGCAAAACAACAGCCAGGACTATACACTCTGAGGCTTCCGTCCTTTCCAGTTTCTCTCATTCAAAGTATCAAAAAATTGAAGAAGAGATAAAGTACTGTTGTGAGTGCTTTTCTTGTCTTCACTAAAAGTTTTTCATTGTATTACTACAAATGATTGTTGGATGTACATTGGGTGTAAGGCCTTTATTTTCACAGTTAAGGCATGGATAAAAACGAAAAATATACTTTTGAAAATGAAAACTAATCAATTAAAATCTAGATTTAATTGTGCTGCACAAAAGGTATATTTACAACTTACCCTGGCACCTGGCTTCCCAGCTGAACCCAGGGGGCCTTGCACTCCTACATCTCCCTGTAGAAAATGAAAATGAAGGGGAAAAAGTTGAGTTTAAAATGAACATATGGACAAAATAAAGACAATAGAAATTAAAGCAAAATACTTACAGGTTCACCAATAGGTCCAACAGGTCCCAGCTCTCCCTGGTCTCCTCGCTCACCCTGTGGTGTGACAGTAAAATGACACGTGACGCATCAGCGGTCACAAGAATCACGACAGTGTTTCAACTCATGCTGCTCACACTTACTGATTTGCCAGCAGGTCCCATTGTTCCAGGAAGGCCTGATTCACCAGAGTCTCCCTGCGCAGACACAACCAAAGTTGCTATTAGATTTTGACAATTTAAGAAGAAAAATAAAAACAATGTAATAAAAAAATGATGATATTTTAATAATTGATCAAGAAAACAACCTTAGGGCCAGCCAAGCCTTTTGGTCCAGGTGAACCAGGCAAACCCTGAAAAACAGAGAACATGTCTTGAAGAGATGCAACAATAACAACAGGAGGAGAACAATTTCCTACAACAAAGGAGAAATATTCTAGCAGTAAGTGTCATTCCCAAAAGAGAATAAACCTAACTGCTAAGGATGACAGGCTTAGTGGGAAAGAAATGTATTTGTTTGAGCTTTTGACCCAAATATGCTTAAGGTGATAAAAGTGTTCTGAATATTTAAATCAGGTGCTGACTTTTAAATGTACAAAATCTTCCTTAATGCTGCCACAGGCTGGCTTTTCATGTTTGCCAACTGATTCTCATTAGTGCCTTTCATAAGACTAAGCACAGATTAGAGAGCAGAAAAAACTTTGCTCTTACTTAGCTGCCTAAGGGAGACAGACAGGGATTACTGTCTCACACCACAGCCTTAACAGAGGGAGAGAATTCTATAGTATTTGATTGGAAAATAGCAACAACTTTATTACATGTTAAAATGCAAGATGCAAAAACATTTTTCTGACTGTACAAATGCGGAGATATTGCACTGTAGCATGCATGGTGCTCCTGCTCCTGGTGGGTTTACTCAGGTGTATCCAATCAGAGTCAGTCTTGACAGTTTAGGTTATAGGTCATACTCACAGGAAGCCCCTGAAGTCCGACCTCTCCAGGAACGCCTGCCTTCCCAATGCCTCCCTGCAGGGAAACAGACAGTAAAAAATATGAAGCTGATACTGCTCCTGACAGAAAAACAGTCAGTAAATTTTAATATTATAAACTTTAACATTAAAACTTGGAAGGTTTATTAATAAAGTAGTAGAAATGATTCTCTACCTTTGCTCCTGGCATCCCAGGAATGCCCTCGCGCCCATCGACACCCGGTAAGCCCTGGTGATAAAAAGCAAATTAGCTTTTTGCAGACAATATGCATGAACTTTAAAGTTATATTTGTCACCAATGATCAAACACTCACAGCCTCTCCTTTGGGACCTGGAAGACCTGTGATTCCTCTCGGCCCTTGAACACCCTGAACAACAAAGAAACACTTATTTCATTTGTCAAAACTTTACAAACCAGCGTTTATTTTCTGCATCTGAAAACGTATACTAACCGTTCCCCCTTTAGGCCCAAGCTCGCCCATCACGCCTCTCTGGCCTCGATCCCCCTGAAATAATGCATTGAATCATATGCTGCTCATAGTACCATATTTGCTGCAATAATAAAAGCATCTGTATCGTGACACAATCTTACCATTGCCCCTGCGACACCCTGGGGACCTGGATCTCCATCAAGACCTCGAGCTCCCTGCCAGAGAACAATATTAGTATTGGTATTATACTCTGTTTAAAGAATAAACCTTCTTAATAGTCAACTATTCTTGGAATTCACCCTGAATTTGCAAGTAATTCAGGAGGAATCTGATTAATATGAAAGGTACCGTGAGCTTAAAAATCAAGGAAGCACTAACCATTTCCCCCTTGGTGCCCATCATTCCTGTGGCTCCACGAATACCCTGAGGACCCTGAAATTACAAACAGGTGCCTCGTTGAGCAGAAAAAAAGAGAACCTGACACAGTAAAGTACAAACTGTAACTTGAAAGAGTCTAATATCATCTAATAAATGGAGTATCTAACCCTTGGTCCTTGGGTTCCGACCTCTCCCGGACTTCCCTGGTCTCCCTCCTCACCCTGAGTGAATGAGAGAGAATAAACATCAACAGAAAAACAGCATAACGTCAATCAGATGACACACTGAACTGCAAATGTAACTACATTATAAGAGGACAAACGGAGGCTGCTCCTATCGACTGTGTGTTAATTAGAAAATTAGGCTGTGTTTAATACCACTTTTTAATGGATTGCAAGGGAGCAAAAGCAGACAATTTAACTCCAAATTACCATTCTTCTGATTTGCAAATTACAAATAATTTATACGCTGACTCTAGTGGACCTGAGGAGGCATATCCATTAAGATAGATAGGGGTTCCTGTCTGAGGCTGCACACATTTCCTGCTGTTAAAAAGGCAATTTCTTCTTTTAATTATGTGTATCAGAATTGGCTATTAACACATGCAAACAATACATATCTGATCATCAAATATTACACAACAAAGAGAAATGAATGCAATGAAACGGGTAGGCATTTGTGAACATCAAAGAGCAAGAGATACATAAGAACTTGTTCTTCATTCTGCCTGATACTAAAACAATCTGATTCATATTCTTCAAATGGAGACAATATGTTTGTTCTCCAGAAAGAGGAAGATGAAAGCCTGAATCAGCCATATTGTTGGATGATTAAAAGAAATCTCAATTTCTGGTTGTGGGATTAAAAACATCAAAAAAGTCTTCAATCTTTGTCTAATGTAATATATATTTTTATCATATGATTATATGTAATGGGTAATGTTCATTCAAATACAAAGTCAGAGTTCTATGATTTTAGATGTTAACTGGGTCACATAGTCTTCTTCTTACAACCATGTGCCAGGGTGCAATCTTTCCAAGACTTACTTATTTTATATCTCAATATTTTTCTTTAGTATCATGAAATTATACACTTTCAACCCCTGCAGCAACATCTGGTTATTTTATTATTAACTTTAGTTCACATTTATATTTGTGAATTTGTGAGCGGAAAACAGGCAAAAGGCCTCTCAAATGAAACTTCCAGTGAAGGAGAAAATCATTCTGGGGGGACGGAGCGCAGACTGACAGTAAATCATATCCTGCCATGGAGTGATAAAGGGAGATAGGCCCAGACTCATTTCCATTTATATAGTGCATAGACACATTACAGGGAGAGGGTAGTTGTGCTTGAACATCATTTGGAATAAATCATCCTCCGTGCATTACAAGGAGTCGGAGGCATTACACAGTGACTTGTATCACTTCCTCTTGAAATAGAGCAGCGCAAATAATACTTGTCTCAAAGGCGCCGGAAATTCCTTTTTTCACGTTTAAGTCAATGCTAATGGTTTTCTGATGTGAAACGTTGTGGAATGTGTGACAGTTGTGGAAGGGAAATTCATGTTTTTAAGCTCTATTTATGCAGTTTTATGTGAATATAAATTCACTTTGTTGATGTTGCTGATGTTGATGTGACTAGAAATACTTGGCTTTGGGTTTACAAACAAGGATTATCCCCTAATTCAAACGTATTTTACCTTGTGCCCTTGTTTCCCAGGTTCTCCTGCTTCGCCTTTGACACCTTTGTGGCCCTTGAAACACATAGAGAATAACCCATCAGACACACTGTATTTTGGGACATGTTTTTAGTGCAACACAAAACACTCAGCTACCCACCTTCATGCCAGGAAGGCCAGGATGTCCAGGGGTCCCAGGCGGACAAGAGTTTGGACACTAAACAACAACAACAACATAACAGTCAGAAAATATTCTGGACATTATGCAATAGAAAATCTAACTCATAATCTCCAGAAAACAAAGCTTTACCAGGTCAGCACTGCCTAGCATTCCAGCTGCACCCTGGAATTGAGAGAAAATACAAGTTAACACTTTAATACTGTAATTTGTCAACATCATGATGGATTTAAGGAGCTTGTAAATCCCTAGAGGAAGGACAGCAGTGTGCAGTGGTGGCATCACTAACAAGGCCAAATTACTTGCTACTTGCTGCTTTTTCCCTTGTGAAATATAAGGTCAAATGTAATCAGTTGCTAATCTTATGAGATGTCAAATAAAGCTGTGTCACTTACTCTGGCCCCTGTTGGTCCACGAGGTCCCTGTGGCCCTCTCACACCCATGGCCCCCTGTGGAAAGACATAAAATGTGCCAAAAACTACTCAAAGAGAATAAATGCGCTGGGCTCTCCATTACTGCTGAATACTGACGATTTCTATCAGCAAGAATAATGACAGTAGCATCTTTGCCTAAAAGCATCAATTTACTTCTAGCTTACAATGTGTGGAAACTATTCATGCAGAATTTTGACGCTTCCACATTTCATTAGGAATTGGTGTTTTCCTAAATAAAATATTGTTTTGGATCAGTGTTCTCAGTGGTGAAATACATTCAGTAAACAGTAACATCCAGAAGATCCCTTTCAGTTGTCTTTTCTTAAACAAATTCCAGTCTGCAGGTTTATTTGCTTTTCCATGTAGTGACAGAGGTAAAGACGATGCTGCTTTAAATGATCTATGACACAGTAAGAGTTTAACCCAGATTGGAACCTTACTGTATATTTATGATCACTGCTTTGATATCTAGTGTAAGATGATGCTGACAACAGTAGCTAAAGGGCAAAATTTAAATGAAGATAAATCAAAAATAAATCTTACCCACCTAAAGTGCCATTATCAGGGGCAATTTAATTGGATGAAGGGCTGAATATTTGATATTTTGCAATGATTTTCTATCCATAAAATGTGTGGAAATCTATCTTCAATTTAATGAGAAACATCAAATACAGTCCATTTTGACATATATATCAGTATATGGCGCACAGAATATGAGTCAATTTATTATTATTATTATATATACTTAATGTAATGATGTAATATGTCAGGGCTCATGCTGGTAGTATTTGGTGCTGGTTGCATAGTAACAGTGCAGTGCTCTGTTTTACTCACAACTGATCCAACTTTTCCCACTTCACCCAGAAGTCCTCCAGGCCCGGGTAGTCCCTGTTCAAAGTCACATTTCAGGTATTTAATACTAACACAATTTTTGATGAAGAGAACCAAAATGGACTATAAATTGTGGTATTGATTGTATAGCATAAACAACTACTTACGAGGGGTCCATCTGGCCCAACACCCTAAAGAGAGACATATACAGTACAGGTCAGTGTGTATGTATAATTAGGTGTACACAAGACAAGAAAAGTGGTGATGGTTGATCTGATCCTTGAAGTTATCTGTTTAGAGAGGAAATGCAACTCACAGCTGCTCCGCGAGGTCCAGATTTTCCAGGTTCACCCTAAAGGATAAAGATAGATACATTAGATACATTAATAGGTGTTGAAACAAATACTGGAATACTGTGTTCAGATAAAATTGAGCTGTATGTGCGCCTGCAGACGGTCCAAGTTAAAATTCCTCCAGCTCATCACATGACTTGCACACTTGACCCAGCAATGTTTAGCCTAATGAGGACCGATGTTGGGGCTTCATTCCCCACGGAGATTACACAGAAGACTTGCAGGATTAAGTCTCATTTGTCATGAGGAATTGGTTTATGCACTGCAGCTCCCGCTGCCATGCCAAAAGACTGGACAGCAGCTTGGCACCATTTCACTGATGCAGGAAAACCAAAGGCTCATTAGTCACTCACTTTCTGTCCGAGGGGACCATCGGGCCCAGGATCTCCAATAGGGCCAGTCAAACCCTGCAGAGAAGAGACATCATGCTTAACTAACACATCATAACAAATTTTGAAGCACTGTATGCACTGTGTATTTTCACCTTATATTTAAAAAAAAAAGTTAAATGTGCCTACTACCTCAGCAGGCAATACTTTTCCCACCTATGTCAATATTTCAGAATTCAGCATCAGATCTCTGGATGTTACATCATCATAAAGAAATCATACTCCAGTGGGAGGAGTCCTATGTATTCATCAGTGGGTTTCACTTGACTATAACTCCCTCCTCTAAAGTGTTTCAATATAAACTACACTGCAGCTTCAGTCACATTGACATTAAAGCTCAGTTTCTGAATGTGTCATGACGTCCACAAGAGTGTGTTCAACTTCACAGACACACAGAAAAAGTCAGCGCCAGGGCAGAGGGCAAAGCTCTCAGACTGCAAACCAAGCAGAGAGCAACATTCCTCTGGCTCATTTCAAACAAGCGCACTGAAAGAAATCATTCCACACTGTTTTGAGGATTCTCAACAGGAGATACCAACAGTGGCCAGCCAACAAAGCTGCTATTGTTTTCAGAGTCCTGGTAGATGTATTGAGGTAAAACATAGGCAGTGCATCACAATGCATACAAAATGTGCATTTTTATTGTGGTATAATAAAATTGCAATAAAATAACACATTCAGAATGAGTTTTGAAAAAAACCTTTGAGGTAAACCACTACAGCCCCTCTTAGTCAGTCTATTATCAAGATCAGTATTATGTTTGGATGTTTTTCTAACCCTCCTTTAAACTCTGAGGGGAGCAAAATTAATTACACTCAGGCCCTGGTTCAACCTGTTACAAAGGAAATTTGGGTTTGTTCATCCTGTTTAATGAATTCTTCACATTTTTGCACACATTTCCCCAAGATCCCCTGCTAAATCTGAAATTTCATTGGTCACTCTACAAGACTAATAGTGTGCACATAACCTATATGGTGGGAGGACCAAACTGTGTAGTTCCACCCCCATGTGGGTTTGTGGTTTTCATGTTAACCTGACTACTGCAGTTAACACCAAACATATAAAATATGAAACATAGAGTACTCACATCATTTCCAGGAATTCCAGGTAATCCTGAAGAGCCGGGTTTACCTGCATCTCCATCAGGTCCCTAAATACACACATAATTCAGTGAGCAGCCATACATTGAAAAGCAATACATCTATAAATTGTTGTTAAATTATTTATTAAATGTCATAGTTACAGGAAGACCATCCTCCCCATCTGCCCCCCTTTCACCCTGAAACAAAAAAGATTCAATGATTTAGGTGAGCAAATGGTGAACTATTATTGTGTTACTAGTATTGAGGACAATGTCACAGGACTGGGAGCACTTACAGCAACGCCATCAATTCCTGGGACACCTGCAGGTCCGGGAGGGCCAGGAGGTCCTTGGATCCTCTGAGTAAAATAATAATAATGTAATGAGAAAATATACACTTAAATGTCTGAAAACGACCCTATCAATTTTGGACATTTCTGATATTGATTGATTATACTGCTACACAGACAATATGAAAAAAATTGAACAGGTGCACTGCCTTATTGTATGCTGCTAGAAGACATTGATACACAAATACACGGAAATAGCATACAGCCAAAAGAACTGTTTTCTGATTGCAGAATTCATCAGCTTTAGATAGCACTTTGCAAAAGGAAAAGTTTAAAAAGGAGACTCCAAAACAAAAGTCAAATTCCTGACTTTTTTCCGTGACAGATGTCCAATAAATTTACTAGATAAATCAATCTGAGCCTCTGGACTAAATTCAAGATAAAAACAGATTTTGCTGTTTAGCATGAGTACACTCACCTGCACCTCTGTCACATCAGTCTAGAGACAAAGACAGAAAAATACAATTAGTCTTACTTGAGCGGAGCAGATAAGGACAAGCTGCAGGAGCAGAACCAGAAGTGGCCCTCTAACGCCGGGGGCCCGAGCCATGATCTCCCCGTGGACAGGAAAGGTAAAAGTTGTAAGTCCTTTCACTGGGATTTGTTGGGTTGAAGGAGCCCCCGACAAAACAACCCAACTGAATCCGCTTCAGCTATCTAGACCGTCCGAGGTCCCATAGCCATCAGGGGCTCATGTATATTCATACAATTTTTGGTTGCAGGAAGGGATTGGAGGGTTTGCAGGGGGGGGGGGG